AGGCTTGAGGCCCTGTATAGATTACCGAGCATTAAACAATATCACTATCAAATTCCGATATCCTCTTCCTCTCGTCCCTAACGCCCTGGAAAATCTCCGAGGTGCGACCATAATTTAGTCATAATTTTCGTTGACGAAAGCAACACTAGTATACACACACACACACACACACACATGTGTATTTTATTCACATATCTTTATTTTTTTATTATCTGTGTTGTTGTCTCTGTGTACTGGAAGCTTCTGTCATCAAAACAAATTCCTTGTATGTGCAAACATACTTGGCAATAAAGCTCTTTCTGACTTCTGACTTCTCATCCGACGCTGCTGTAGATCACCGATACGTCTTCCACAGTTTGAACATTTGATTTCCTAGAAAATCTAAACAAACAGGAGCACAACAGTGTTACAGCTCAGATAAATGATCTGTGCTGGTGAAGTTTTTTTTTTCTCACCTCTCGGCAGCATCAGGCTGATGAACTCTTATATCGTCATACTGACATTCATCATCTTCCGGTCTGTTCGTCTCTTTCTTTCTGTGAAATTGGACAGTTGCGTACTGGATCTCCTCAGTATCTCTGGATTCAGGAGTTTCTCCTCTGAATCTGCTGGGTTTCACACTGGCATACAGAGCATCATTGACTGTATCAGGTTCAGAAAGAGGCTCGTCATGAACTGAAACTCTCTGTGACACATCAGCATAAAGATCATTCTGAAAGACAAGAAAATACAGAATTACAGTTTTTTTTTTTTTTACAATAACAACACATTTCTCAATAATAAAGTCACTTTTTCAAAACTCTTCACACAGTTCCCCTAACCATCTTTCAACTTGATACAGCAGTTCATTTCACATTCAAAATGCACAAAACTACCAAAACACTTCATTAATGTCTCAAATCAAGGCATTCTTACATAAACAAACACACTTTATCACTCATAACACAACAACCTGAAAACACAAACAGCAGGTAGCATTATACAATGTTTTATTTTGTAAAAACAAGAATGATACTCTCTACTGTTTATAATTCACTGCAGTATATGTTACATGGTCCATGTTTACATTACAGTGCAACATTATTTCCCTTTTGTGTAGATGGTAATGAAAGTGAAGGACAAACACTTGTGAAGATGTTCAGCTACAGGCAACTGCTTTGATAGTATTAGATTTTTTTTTACATTCAGAATATTTTTCTATATGATATTACTGTAGAAATGTCTTATTCATTTTTTCTACTGTGCTAGGTTTTGAACTGAAGTTTAGCAGTTTTGAAAACTGCATGCAAACATATGGGCTTGTATAGTACATAAAGTTTTGGTGGTGTTTGTGTCAAAGTGATAAAATAATTCATGTAATTTAACAGATGACGTCAATTAATGCATTTTGTGCCAAAGCAATGATAAATGATCCACAGTTTAGCGCACAGAGACTGATGTTGTGCTCGCTGTGTGAAGAGTTTTGAAAAAGTGACCTAATTATTGAGAAATGTGTCCTAGAGATTGTAAAAAAACTTTAAGACATTAATTTTTCAGAGGTGAGGTGCAGCTTCTGAGACACAGCAGCAGGTCTCAAACTTTTCAGACCAAGTACAACATAAGACCAAATAACATCCGATAACTAAAACAAATTTCTGCTTCTGTAAAGTTGCGTTGATTTACCTGTTTCATTGTTAAATCATCAGATTTATCCCTGTTTCTTTTCCTCCTGTTATAATGACAGACAATAACAGCATACATTAATATAATTAACACCTGATGTACTTGACATACGCAAATATTAGTCTGTTTCATTCTTATTCCAGCGTCACCGTAGCCACTCAGATCCAGTCCATATCCAGACCAGATGGTGGATCAGCACAAGACAACCTCTACAGCCCTGAACGTCAACTAGATGAGCCCTAGAGACAGATCCCCTGTGAAGACCTCATGACCTCGATGACCATCGGCACAAGACCACGGGAACCAGACGAGTCCTCTGCACAATCTGACCTGTGTTGCAGCCTGGAATTAAACCACATCACGCTGGTTTCATCAGGCCAGAGGAGAACTGCCCCCCGGCTGAGCCTGGTTTCTCCCAAGGTTTTTTCTCCATTTCTGTCAGCGATGGAGTTTTGGTTTCTTGTTACTGTCACCTTTGGCTTGATTAGTTGGGGACACTTAATTTCTGGCAATATTGTCGACTTGATTAACACAGATACTATTAGAAGAGAGCTGATCTGGATGATGACATCACTGAATCAATGATGAACTGACTTTAACTGAAAATTTGATTTTACTATTGTCCTCTTGCATTATCAATACACTTATCGATACTAATAATAAAACATATATGATACATTTTTACTACATCAGAACAAAAATGAACATATAATAACTGCAGTTTTTTTTACTGAACTCACATTATAAACAGGATGAAGATGATGATGATGAATAATCCTCCAGATGTTGCTGCGATCACAATCACGTTCCTATCAGCACCAGGATGAACTGAAAGATGAAGATCATCATAATTAAACTGATGAATGATGTGAAGATACAGGAGTGTGTTAATAAAAGCTTCACCTGTGACAGTAACAGCGTCTGATCTCTGAGATCCATGTTGATTGTGAGCCTCACAGTAGAAGCGTCCACTCTGTAGTGCACTGAAACTCTGTCCAGATCCAACAGCTGAGCTTTGATTCTCCTTAAACCAGCTGAAGTTCAGAGCAGGAGGGTTTGAATCACTGCTGCAGCTCAGAGTCACTGAATCTCCCTCCACTATTTCACCAGATCCATTTATGGACACGGAGACATTATTTGGAGGATCTAAAAAGGACAAAAATGTAAATTCACAATAAATGTGAGAAAATTGTGAATTTGGAAATTTTGATCATTAACTCACACATGACGTTTAAAGTCACAGCAGCAGAGTATTTCTCTCCATGTTCATTGATGGACTTGCACTTGTATTCTCCACTGTGATCAGAGCTGATGTTTGAGATGCTGTAGATTCTTCCAGATCCTACAAACTTTCTTTTTTTAAACCAGCTGATTTCTGCAGGAGGGTTTGAATCACTGCTGCAGCTCAGAGTCACTGAATCTCCCTCCACTATTTCACCAGATGGACTGATGGACACTGAGACACTTTTTGGTCGGTCTAAAAAAAAAACAAGACATTAACAAAGTAAATTTGACATCACACAAATGAGACTTATAAGTCAGAGATTTATGAAAGTCCATCCATTTTTTAACCAGATGGACTGATGGAGATCACAGGATTCACTGGACGTAGCAGTGCTGGCTGGTGGACAATTTTCTAGGTAGGGCTGTTGTAACATAACATAATCTCTAGTTTGTTTTGTATTGCTTTTAATATACTTTGTATGTTGAAAGTTGAGTTAGGTTCGCAATATTTCTCTTCTGCATGTGGGACTTTTATTTTGAATCTGAATCTGCATTCACAGCTAAAGGGGTAATGGCAAAAAGATACAGGGAGCTAACGCTTCATGACGGCTTGTCAGAACTCTTTCACGGAAAGACTGTTTATATGTTTGTTCAGCACCCCCCAAAAAAGGCATAAGGTCTGTATATATTTTAATACTGTTAGTTATAATAAGTATTTTGTGAAATTTGCTGAGTATGTTATAATAATGCAGTAGAGAGAGTCTATGGACAAGACTTTAATGCACATTTGTTGTACTTTGTTTTATTCAACTCTTTCGTTGGTTTTCTTGGAGTAAACGGACACTAATAAAACTTCATAAAAATCATCAGTAAAGCTTTGGTCCTTATTTGGACAGGTTTGAAATGTTTGAAATGCAGATAAATGTTTTACCAAATTCTGGATTAAGTTTGAGGAGGATTCTCACAAAACTGTATTTTTCGCAAGCTTTTTTCAAGGTAAATTAAATTATTTTTTTACTTTTCTTAAATTGCAATGTATGTATACACTGCAACAGCAAAGACTATGAGGGAAAATAATTTAATAATATTTTAAATAATTAAAATAAAGGTGTGAAAATGCTTAACGTGCAATTTAGCTTGTTGCGTTCATATTCTGGTCTATTCTGCTTGTCTGTAAAAAGTATGCTTTGATAATAAGGTGAGGACAGAATTTGGCCCTCCAATATCACTGTTTTAGTATATTAGGCTTCATTATTTCATGTTTAGTTTAGCGTTTTATAATGTCCCAAATCCGTGCCTTCTGAAATAAGCTTGTGTTTTTACTTTGATTACAATCATCATACATCAAAACTTTACTTGCGAGACACGTTTGCTTTATCCAGTCCTAGTCCTGCCTTTACTTTTTTTGATTTGATTCAGGGCGGGCGTTGCTCGAGCACCCTCTTTTGGCCAGCTGCCACTGGTATTTATGGTTTATTCATTATTTACATACATACAAAATTTATATGCATTTTTATTCATTGACAAAGCACTGGATTTGTGAAAGTGACCTTTCCTGTTTCCTTCACAGCCTTAGAAAGTTTCTCTTGTGTTTTAGAGACACAACATTTACATCTGGTTTTGTGTGTCAGAATAATGGTTTTAGTAAAAGGACAAGAGCTTCCAAAAAACCTACTAACCATTTATCAGAGATATCTGTGTGAAGATGGGGGCCAGCTGGTCAGCACAGGATTTCAGACAGACTGGTGTAACACAGTCTGGGCCTGGTGCTTTTTTCCTTTTCTGCTTCCGGAAGACCTGGCGCACCTCGTCTTCGCTGATCTGAATTGCAGGTGTGGGGGAGAGGGGGGTTGCTGGAGGTGTGAATGGTTGTGTGGAGAGGTGTTCAGGGCGGGTGTGGGGTGTTTTTTCAAACCTACAGTAGAACTCGTTCAGATCGTCTGCCAGGTGTTGATTATCCGCAGTGCTGGGGGATGGTGTCTTGCAATTGGTGATTTATTTTAGACTTTTCCACACTGATGCTGAATCACTGGGAGATAATTTAATCCTTATTTTTTCAGAATAATTCCTCTTTGCCACTCTGATCTCCTTTTCCAGTGTGTATTTAGCCTGTTTATACAAGACATTATCCCCCTTCCTGTGGGCATCTTCTTTGGCCTGACGGAGCTGTCTGAGTTTTGCAGTGAACCATATATATCTAGTGCTGCTGTCATACACTGATTATTATTCAACAATGCACAGAAGAAGAGCTCAGCCTCATGAAACTCACCTGTGACAGTAAGATTCACTCCTGGATTACCAATCCATTTTTGATCAGGTTTATCAGTGATGAATCTGAAACAGTACATGTGTTCATCTTTCTGTGTCACATGACTCAGTCTGATGGTGCAGTTCTGCTGTTTGTCTCCCAGATACTGAAGCCTCTGACTGTATTCAGGATCCTCAGACAGATCTGGAAACTCTTCTTCTTTCTCTCTAACATTTGTTTTGGTCCAGAACACTTTCATGATCTGATGTCCAGTAGGGTATGTATAAGTGCAGCTCATTATCACTGATGAGTTTTTTAGTGCACAGATGTGTGAAGGACTGTAACTTACACCCCAACCAGCACCAGAAACCCCTGAAACACAGAATTCAACAGGATGAAAATGTTGTTTTATCAATTAGACTTGGCCATGAAAACATGATAACTCTTTTACTTCTTGAAAACAGCAACTCTTTACAGAAAAAAAGCTAATTTTCTCAGAATCTATTGAGTGATAAATGATGTGAAGTTCATCATTAGTCGCAGAAAAGCAGAAATAAAAGCACAGAGATCAATGACTGAAAAAGAACCAGGAAATCGGCCGTGAACAACATGCTTCACTATCAAATAATGAAAAACAAGACTAAGAAAATAATCAAAGTTGATTTATTAAGTACCCAATGTGAGTTTTGTGGCTTTTACTTTGTCACCTCGAACCTCATCTATATGCTAGTGAACTCATTTGACAATATTTAACATATGCACACTCACTTCCAAGAACATGAGCCAAAAATATTCACAATCTAGTGTGAGACAGATTTTTGTAATCAGCACTTATACACTCATCAACAGTACATGCACATCACCCTATTCTTAACGATTATCATGTTACGACACGTATGTTATATGAGCGATAATCATCAGTTTTCACTGAAGTACGAGTGTGTCTGTCTTACCGTGATGAAGCTCATCAGATCAGCAGCAGCTAAATGACTGACTCTTTTAACACATGCACGTTTAGACAGACTATTTGTGGTTAACACTGTTTTTATACCCAGCAGTGGAAATATCAGTGTCCCTCCCTCAACAAGTGAACAACATTACTGGACTAAAATGCACATATGCACATCGGTGTTGATGCCAGGAGCAGGAGATGGTGACCTCTGGTAATATTTTGAGGATTTGTACAAACACATATGAGATGTTCACAAATTAAACTGATCACTTAAACGAAACACAAAGACAGAATAACAGAAGCCTGTAAAATTGAGCACTTTGACCCCATAAAATGATACACTGTTCATTGTGAAGCTGCACTGTTATGATTTTGTTCAGTAGATCAGGGTAAAATGATAAATTATGATTTAAAAGCAGGAATATGTTGTGAAATAAGGAAGTGCTTGAATCCACAGTGAATGACTTCATCAATTTAGATGGAGGGTGTTGCACAAATAAACACACAGAGACAGACGTGTGAAAACAGAGCAAAGAAATCAGCAATGAACCACATGCTGCACCATCAAATAACCAAACACACGACATTTAAGACTATCAAGATAATCAATGTTGATTTAAAGACTCAATGACATCCAAATGTGAGTTGTGTAGGTTTTATTTAATGTCTATAGCTCTGAGATCTTTCATGTGCTAATAAAGTCACATAAACCTCTATCATGGCAGCGTTCCACTTTTAGACACACTCTCATATACATATAGGATGCTGCATCAAATAAATTCTTAAAGGAAGAAATGTAAATAACAAATCAACTCCATAGCAGATTGCAAGTGATCCATGGCTTAGGATGTTCCAATTCAGCCCATTGCAAGGATTCGGCCAGTAGTGGGCAGTGGTGGACGAAGTACACAAATCAAGTACTTGAGTAAAAAATCAGATACGTATAATAAAATATTACTCCAGTAAAAGTACTCCTTTTTCAATTTTACTCGAGTGAAAGTGCAAAAGTACTAGATTTTTTATGTACTTAAGTAAAAAAGTACTGATAGATAGATTTATTTTGCAATTTTATATAGACTACTTAATTAAAATGTATATTAGCGCACATTTTTATAATCCTACTGCTCAAAATACCTCGGATTTTCCCCAAATAACCACTATATGGAGTCAAGATATATTTTTGTTGTTGATATGGACTACGTTGACGAGAGTGATGTAGTAATGTTCACTGTGAAGCTTACACCGTGATGTACCTGAGAGAAAACAGATCTGACCATCTGATTTTCACCAGTAAGAAAAACGTGTTTTAAAGCTCGTTGTTTTGCAGAACATCACAGTTATATATGACATGAGAATAAGGCCTGAAGGTAGGAAGAACATTTTAAGGAAAATATAATTATATTTTCATAATAATTTTTTTTCTTCTCAAACCTTGTCTGTGGTGTAAAAACACCCCTGGCCAAATGCCCCCAGAGGGCATCACTTCCCACTTTGATATTTACTGTAGTTACCATGTTCTGAACATCACATCCTTTCTTTTCCCTCAGATGTAATCTATATAGTAACACATTTAAGGCCGATAAAACAGAACTCAAAATAAGCCCTATGGAATGACGTGCAAGTAATATTTTCGATATTATCTTTGTATAGAATTCTAAATGAAGTACCTGGATCTCTACAATCGCATGGTCTTGATTAAGATGTTACTGTGCCGTAATAGTCAGTGGACCTCTCCACAGAAATTAAGTTAGCTCAAAAACAGGCACATCACTTCATTCACCACGGATTAAGCTGTCACTCTCTGACCGTTAATCACTGCATATCCGTCGCGAAGGTATGCTTTCACGTTTTTCTTTCTTGCCTCCTCAACTTTAGGCCATAGACGAACATGAGCCTCCCTGTCGTCCTTACAGAAATCCTCTCTAAAGCGGATTTTTCTCTCCATGCAGACCGGTGCATTTTTCGACATCCTCCAAACCATGTCACGTACAATTCTCATGCCAAATTGAATGATGATTTGCCGCGGTCTTGCGCCCTTCACTTTTTTGCCAAGGCGATGAACTGTGTCCACAGTATTCTGCAGTTGTTCAGGAGAGTGAGGGACGATCTGTGACAGAATATCAATCACGACACTTCTGGCATCCTCATCTTCTCTTTCTGGAACCCCATTTAGCCTCAAACACCATCTGCGTTTGTATCGGTCATGTTCCACGCATTTCTGTTTCAACAGTTCATTTTTTCTTCTGTAACAGAGTTACCTGTGATTTCAAATTATCCACATCCTCCTTAACGCCTTTCAACGCCATCGTATTGGCATCCAGAGACTCAGAAATTTTGACAGTTGCATCAGTGTTCTCTTTCAGTTGGAATTCAAAGGCACGAATGTATTCCGAATTCTCGTCAAACTTACGACTGAGGCTTTGGATGGCGGCGTACAGAACGCTAGTGGAAATCTCATCCTTTTCCTGTACTGCTTTCACTCGTTTGGGCCCAGGACTTTTGAGAGGGGTGTGAGGCATTGTCTTCTGTCGAACATCTTTAGCAGACGACACTTCAATCTCCATCGTATCAATAGTTTCCTCTCCTGCTTCCCCTGAAGCTATTCCAACATAGGCATGTTCTCCAGTTTTCCCCGCCATAACGCTTCAGCGAGTGCAGCATCAAAAGGCAAGCGAATAGTCTTGTAAAAGCAAAAATTCACACGAATGTAGTAACAAAAAACATTAAAGTAAATAAATAATTATAAATCCAATAACCGTAGACCAAGAATGGATGGCCTTTTACACAATTATATCAGAGCCTGTGAAAAGTTCGACTTGTCACTCCGCCATCTTGACACGCCCCCCCGAGATGGAGGGAAGTTATCGAGGGCTGAGTTCCAGTTCGTTTTTTATGCCCTTCACTCGCTAACTTCCCTCCGTCTCGTTTACTCAGATGTACGTCTTTGATTAGACTACATTGCACGAGTGCCCACTACTGGCTGAACCCTTGCAATGGGCTGAATTGGAAGCCCTTGATTACTTAGAATATGCTATGGAGTTGATTTATTTAAAAAATTTTTTTACAGATGGCTGGACTCATGGGGTCGATGGTCTGTGTCTGTCCTTATACACTTCCCTCGTCCACTTCATGAAGTAGAACGCATTTCAAAAGGGGAAGTGCTTAGGGACGTTTGTGAGTGTGTGTCTAAAAGTGAAATGGAACGCAGCCGAGGAAAGGGCATGCAGCCCACATCTAAAACTGTCTTCTGAAAAAATGGGCCAAAAATATTCATGATCTGACACCATAAACTCCTCTCATTACAAAACCGGCCAATCAGAATTGATATTCAAATAATGCATTTTTAAAAAAAAAAAGCCAATGACATTGAGTCATTTGAATTTTTTCATTTGAATTACCCTTGTATACTTAATTGAGGTTAAAACACACACATATGATTTAAAAAACATCACTTCAGGCGTTTTGACTCCGTTTAACCAGTGATCACTGTTAATCATTTGTGGCTCCGCCCACAGAGCTCAGGATTGGTTTATTTGTGCTCCGCCTCTCAATGCAGCATCTTCCTGTCGATCTGAACAAACAATCAATATTTATAGTGAAAAAATGACTCATATTTATTTAGTTTTGTTCTCTGCCAAAATAATAATGTTGCTACAGAAGAGAAGAATTAAACACCTGGAATAGTATGACTTACATTTATGCAGTGTTATGCAATGTTTGGAGCATCAAAGTTTTGGTGACCATTCACTGGCATTGTACGTTGCTAAAAATTTCATTTCAAAGTTTCATTTCAACTCAGTTTCCTTTAAGACATGATTTTTTTGTAAACCTGCTTTTGAAACAACAATGATTGTAAAACAAGCTATGCAAATAAAAAATGGCTTGCGACATGAACATACATTTTTAAAAAAATGTAAATTCCATCAAATCTGTTATTAGAGCGAAAGGTGAGGAGCCTGAAGAAAAAAAAATAAAAATCTCCTCGGATGGTTTCTGATAACAGAACTGGTTTCAATAACAAGATGTGAGAATTCAAGAAACTACCAAATGTACAGTACATCATATAGTGAATTTTAATAGTTTATTAGTGTCATAGGCAAGGCAAGGCAAGTTTATTTATATAGCACATTTCATACACAATGGTAATTCAAAGTGCTTTACATAAAAGAAAAGACAAAAATAATCACAACAATAAAACAAGGAATTTAAAAACTTTGAAAATGATTAAAACAATTGATTTAAGAGGTTTAAAATGAATTTAAAAC